TTCAGGGGAATGAGGCCCATTTCTATTACTGTTTTTGGCGTGAAGATACCCAACGTGCAGCTTGCCAGGCTCTGACGTGGGGGCTATTGACTCCGGGGGCTTGCCAGGCTATCCCGAAGTGGACAAGGGGCTTTGTTTTTGGAGGCGGCCCCGAATCGCCTCCCAGATACTTCCCAGTGTGACTTGATCGTCACTCGAATGCAAGCTTTTGGCCGAGTCGATGGGCAGGATACCAACTGCACCCACAGACTCTCCACACACGTATGCGTGGATCGCCAGCGAGGAACAGAGGGTATATCGACCCAGCACAGCAGAATCAAGGAGTCCATCCCCTGAATCCACCTGCGTCTCTGGGCAAGTACCGGTGACTTTTGGTCGGCGATTAATTCCCCTATCCGCCACCTGGGGACGCCCTACGTAGCCTCGTCACTAACCGGCTGGGGATCCTTCAGTGAGAGAGAACCCTCAGTGAAAGGAGATCCGTAGAAAGTTGGGTCATATCTTCAAATTTTATTTCATGAACTGGCGGTCGTATTTCTGTCGAATCTGTAATCATATCCACCTTGTACATTTCTGGGTGTCAATTGAAGGCCGCTTTCCTGCAGAGTTGGATGGTTCATAATAATGTGCAAGTATGTAAAGACACAAACATATCTGTACCTATTCTATATTCGTACTACTGCGAGCAAGACAAGGCTTACTGCTCTCGACTTGCTATACAACATTTTTATGAATCTACTGTGCTGAAGGATGCATGAAACTTTTGAGTTTCGTAATTTTTGAGCAAAAAGCTTCGGTAGTCTTATCAATGGCACATCGTTCGGTCGACATTACCTACTTCGAATGATCACGCCAAATACCGATCAGCTATAGAATTGATCTATCAGCAATGCCCTTTCCCCTGCGATCGAATCTATAGTTCTTGCCTAGCGCGTTGGCAGGCCACATTCTTCCGAAATTGAGAGGCAAAAGTTTTTCAAAGCTTTCCGGACACCCTAATAGTATCTTAAAGTAGTATTCTTCGTTTACTCTCTCATTTCGCGCCATAGTGTACCTTTCTACGACCACAAGCATCCTCGCGAAATCCATGGCCTTTGTAGCGCTTTTAAGGTCGTTGACGAAGTGTATACCAATGCTGGATGAATAGAGCTGCTCGTTCTGAAAACAGCACATGAGCCAGATACCGAGCACTTGCGGACGTTTACCTTTTGTAAATTGCAACTTCCATGACGCATATAAGGTACCATTGAGTGGTTGTATTTTCTGACTATCGAGCTCCTTTTGAACCGATAAACATCTGCGAACAAAATTTGTTCGAAAAAAAACGCTATTATGAGACACTTGCGTCCTGCGTCCATTTTCAACTTCCTTTTCTTTCTGTCCTGTATCTAATCTGTCTTCAGTTTGAGCTACTTACCTTGCTCGACCATATTGGCTTGTAGACATTTCATATAACGGCAAGCTCTGCAGGAGTTTCTCGTTTCTGTAATTTTTTACAACAGATTGGGCTTACTTAAGGGGAGGATCCCAAGTAGAAGTGCCCTATTGTATAAGACTTATACAGCTACATATACGTTTTTCTGGTTTTCAAATCTGCTTTCCAAATTTGTCAAACGATTCTTCAAACGAAGTAGTGAATTTGGTTTTAAGCGAGTGCTTGACGCAAACAAACACTTGAGACTTGGGGGCAGTAGCGCTATCAGCGATGATTTGTAGCAGTGGTAGTGACGTGACGCTTTATATGCATGAGGCCATGGAACGGGTTTTCAATGTACTTGTTTTCTGCATTTTGCAGTACGCTTCTCTCATGAACGGGAAACCCTTGTGTGCTGATTTTACCATGTACAGCGGTCTTTTTGATACCTTTGCTGGTTCGATGCCTGTCCAAATCATTCAACATGGTTGCAGTTTCTTTGTACTTTTTCATTCACTTTGCATTCACCGTTTGTTCAAACACGTACCAAACCGATTGGAAGGCAGTACTTTTCAACTGTCTCGAAATCAGCTAAATAGTGATAAGAGACCAGTGGCATATTGGAACGAAACAGAAATCATTTTAGTTTGAAACTACGGAATCGACGGGATTGGCGGGGATTAGAGTTGCGAGTGTGCGCGCAAAGTTGAGATTATGAACAGCTACGCATGTGGTGATATTTGTGAACACTTTACTAAACGAAAGGAGGCAAATAAAGCACAGATGAGACTTTCAGCACTTTCGATTGCTTTTGTTGATAATAACTGCATGACCTTCGAAGTGCTCAAGAGTCCATACCAGCAATATGTATATTGGTGAGTGGCATTCTCATTTGAAGGGCTTGCTCATAGTGAGCGCTCGCAACACGCGAACCGTCGAATTTCATGCACGGAAGACTACCTGCTCCTTGATCTCGCCAATAGTTTCTTGCCAAAGGTAGGTCCATAAACGTGGAGTACTGCAGAATATTTATCAAATAGCCTGGAACGACTCCAATGCAAGACAGGCAGGACACGGCGAAAAGGCAAGACAAAACCGCAGAAGAGCGCCTTCTGCCAGAATCTGACCGCACGAGCCTTTCCACTCCTATCGAGCCACCTTCGGCTGAAAATTACTGTGTACACTTTATAAGAGATCCCACACCGAAAGTGATGTACGTAGGTAAGCAATGAGCTAATAGTGACTAGAAGTGATATTGTATGGTTTAGGAAGGAGCCGAATCATCTCGGGCATCAAAAACGCCGCTGAATGTGGCGAAATTGCATACGTCCTTGACGAAAAAGCACGCAAAATGCAAAATCACATCCCTCACAAAACCCGATCTATGGACTAATGCATATGAAGCGACACGCTCACCACTGCTCCAAATCGTCGCTGTTAGCTGCTTCCATGTCTTAAGCGCTTGTTTGCATGAAGCTTTCATCTAAAACCACCTTCATAAGATCATTCGAAGGATCGTTTGGCAAATTTAGAAAGCAGATTTGAAATGAGCGCCTATAAATACGTGCAGTAGTATAAGTTTTATTTCAGATAGCCTTTTCGATCTAGGAACTTTCTCTTGTTAGTTTAAGCCATTATTTTTCACGAACCGCAAAAAATCTAAGCAACAACATCCTTCACGACTCCTGAAAAAAACTGAAATTAATGTAGGCTCGGCGAAACTGATCCTATCACTGCGAAACATCTTGCTGTTAAAATCACTCTGAGTTACACATTCCCACAAAAGTCCAGATGCGGCAGCAGGTGAAAAAGAAACATTTGTTGTTACCTTGAGATATAAGGACAGAAGCGATGTATCACCTTTGCTTATGATACAATTACCATTCCTTTGGCACAGAAGTTGTACGTCTCTCCGAACGGTGCGGATGAAGAAAACTCTGCAGCTCCTGAAGTAGAATAATGGTTGGTAAACAACGTGCAATACGTATTTTCTTATCAATTTTATTTTGTAGACCAAGCCGCAAAATATTCAAACAAACAACTCAAGGTTGGCGAGTTACGGACAAAACTTTGCCCTTCGATTATGCAATCCAAACACCTTGCTCTTATTTCTTACACTACCGAAACCCCGCTAGCCTTCGCTTCCTTAGGGGTTTATATGCCACCAGTGGCTTCGCCTGGCTAACGCCGGTCTTCCCTAATTCTTCGATAAATCTGTAGTAATCGGCTAACTCTCTACTTCAGAAACAACAACAGCTTGAAGCAGCTGATATTTTTCTGTACACGAAGTTCGACACAGGACTAACGGGGCAGTGCGAATGGTAATCAGTGTAAGTCGGTGCGTACGCTTTCAATTGGAAGCCTCGATTTTGCTCTCTTTTTCAAAAATAAATACCTTATCAAGATTCGACTGTTAGTAAACCAAAGCCTTGGGCGGTACTCGCAAATGTCTCGAGTGATGATAATACCATTATCAGATGTATCAGTCGAGAAAGCTGCAGATCCTGGTGGTCGGCTGAGTTTTGTCCCAAGTGATCTATCTCTAATATTTATAAAGCATTAACTTGGTCTGTCGGTTTGTCGGTCTATGTCTTTGTCGGGTGTCGGTTGGTCGGTTTGCTGGTCTCTCCGTCCGCAAAACTTTAAGATTACAATAAAGACAGTGATATGGAAAATACAGCCATTTTCCTTCAACCATTTATTTCGCGCAAATCCCTCCCCCTGTAGACGGTAATCCCCGTGGACAAAATCTTGCCCGTCACCCACCATAAGAGTTCCCATCCGGCCGCCTGTGCTTCTATCAAATTTGAACGCCCTACGCTCAAGCTGACCCTTCTCGTAAAAACTCCGCCCCTGTGAGAGTAGCTGGCCCTGCTAGCAGTTGCGTGTAAACCTACCAAATTTCGATTCTTCAGGTCCAAGGGAATAGGTGTTATGAATTTCCAATCAAACACACACAAATACACTGACAAACCAACATACACACTTACCGGATTATACATAGTAGGATAATGAAGTACCCCTTTACACAACCCTACTGGATCACTGCTCGCAATGTCATATTTGTTATTGCAGGGGATCGTTGGTCATGAATGGCTTTCCATCGCTGCTTTTCAATTTAGGATATCTTTGAAGAACTCGGAATGCCTCAAATGCTTTCTTACTGAAAGTTCATAATTCTGCGCTAATGTAGTCCACCTTATCAGAAAATCTCTTCTGATGTGCGCTCCAAATTCATTTTGACTGAGTTATTGCGTTACGGCTAGGCGATCTCCTACTTACTTAAAAGTTATGTTCCGGCCTCTGCGATATATGTTGATATTAGTGTCAGATATCTATCTGCAAGATCAGTGCGCAATGATCCTTTTTCTTAAAGGGAATCATGGGCAACTGTTTGTTACACTACGCTTATCGTTACATCGATTACAAATTAGTTGCTAGTCGAAGTTACCGTTAGGATTGTACAGTTACTAGACCTGGAGCGACACCGTAAAAGTTTTCCTGCGGTGAAGGAAGCGTGATCCTAAAAGAGCGTGATCCGTGCTCAGGCATGTCTTAAGGCATAAGAAAACACTTCAAAAACACCGTCAAGAAAGCGAACTCTAGAAGTTTTAGCAGTCTGAACAAGTACAAGAGGGCTCGCCAGGGCTGCCGTAGCGAGAGCAAAGAGCACTTGAATGGATAACCTTAATGATAAGTGGCAACGAGATTCTATGCTCAGGAAAAGAGATTGTTAAGAGCACCGAAGAAGAGTTAGTAGTGCGTGGTTAAAAGGAAGCTTTCCAGACCCAAAAGCAGGGAAATCCCTCGTCAGAAGAAACTGGAGAAGGCTGAGAGATATAGCGGTTCCGATGGCGTGATTAGAGCTAGAAAGAGGAAGAAATTCTAATAAAGATAAGGCTGTATGTGTGCTTGAGCAGAACTTACAAATTTTCATTTTTGTTATACATCACTGTATTGCTCTCTTTGGCATGTGAGTTTTGCCTTCCGAAATTTGACATGCCATCAGTCGATGTAGGTTTGTACGGCGACCGCTCCCGCTAGGGTCAAGCTGGAACATCTGAAGAGTTTTCCACCAGTTGTAGTCAAGAAACTGCCTGTGCTCTCCACACGGTAACTGTTTGATGGTCAAGAGCGCACGTCTTAACTAGAAAACTAGCAGTCTGTGCTGCTGCATAAGAAGGGTTATTCCGACGATATTGGCAATCATTACGCAATCTGCCCGCTGTCTATGCAAACATTTCGCACGTGTCATCCTCAACAAGACAAAATATTATATGTAGATGAATGACAGCTATGCGAGCATGCTGGGTTTCGAAATGGGTTCAGTATAATCAACCACATCCACAAAGCAAGACTCATTGATATTTCGCGTGTGCGCAGGAAGCCGTTATGTTCGACTTTCGGAAAAGGCCTTTGATAATGTCGAGACAGGAGCGGTAGAAGCTCTGGGTAACCGAAGTGTTCCTTTCAACAGGTAAATGTGCTTTGTGTGCTCTACGGCAACTTCACGACCAGAACCTCGCCATTCTATAAAGAACCCATCAGCAACGTGAGCTGAGGGGTCCGACAGGGCGATATCATTGCTCGAACCCGTAAGTGACGCTCTCGAAAACTAGACTATGGAGTGAAGGCTTACGGCCTCTACTTACATTACCTCTGCAGACACATCGTG